CCCAAAAAACCAAGTCATCTGTGGGAATCACAGAAATGAATGTCAGAAAAAGCAAGAAGCGAAAAATGAGTATAAACACCAACGACTGATTTTTAAATCCCAAATTTTGCAAGTTGATGCAGTGATAGAGCGATAGGGCGTCAAAAACTCGTGGATTCGGGATAAAACATCTCATTGCAGGTGGAAGAATATGTGGGGTTTTTGGGGTTTTTTTTGAAAACCAGATGCCCTAGAAATTACGTTGGGAAAAAAAAAGGGCAGAAACTGTAGAAACAAAATAATTGCAGACGTATTTTGCTTTTGTTTTGTAAGATATGATGCCGCAGATGGAAAAACTTTGTATCTACCAAATTTTGCACGCAGCGCTGCACAGGCAGGAAAAGAAAGTTAAAAAAACCCCAAAGCCTGTCAGATATTAATGTTCATCAGCTGAGTTGCAGCAAAACCCAACCAATTCAACCCAAAATATTTAGCGATTCCAGCGGGAATCACGCGTTTCGCGACACTTGGCAAGCCTTTCAGGAAAAAAAAAATAAAAATTAAAATTAATCGGATAACATTAACGCCTTCTGAACATGGGCCAGGTTTTCCAGTTGACGTCGTGTCGGTATTGCTTGTGCACGTGCTCACCCACCCCGTAGATGTTGCTGCTGGGGAGTTTGATGGAGAGCTGTAAGAACTGCTCGGCGTACACCAGCGGGCCGATGGTGGTATCGAACCTGGCGAAATAACAGGAAAAACGTCAGCTAAAAATTTCATTTGATCACGTGAATACATGGGCCAGGTTTTCCAGTTGACGTCGTGTCGGTATTGCTTGTGCACGTGCTCACCCACCCCGTAGATGTTGCTGCTGGGGAGTTTGATGGAGAGCTGTAAGAACTGCTCGGCGTACACCAGCGGGCCGATGGTGGTATCGAACCTGGCGAAATAACAGGAAAAACGTCAGCTAAAAATTTCATTTGATCACGTGAATGTCAGTCATTCGGCCCAAACGTTGCATATTGTAGTAAAAATACAGGGTGGTTTTTAATGATAATTTATTAATTGTGGAAGGGTTTTTCTTAAAAACATAAAATCCAACTTTTTTTTTTCCCCAAAATTAAATGAAAGCCTGAGGAAAATTTAAGCAATCTTCTAGAGCACTGATCCAAACAGGTCCCAATTTTTTTTTTTCTTTTTTTCCCCCAAATTAAATAAAAACCTAAGGAAAATTTAAGCAATCTTCTAGAGAGCTGTTTCGAACCCATTGAATTAAATTATTCTCCTCTCCGTGTGCCGAATAAATCAATCTTTCACACATTTCCGCTTTTTCAGTGGGTCTCAGCTTTGCTTTCTTTAGGTTTGGGGTTTTTGGGGGTTTTGGGGGGTTTTTTTTAGAAAAACAAAGAGATTAAAATCCTTCAGCACAAAAGTGAATATTTTACTGAAAATTTTCTAAGACCATCTTAGCGCCGGTTGGTGCCAAATAGTCTCCTGTCGCACACCCGAAGCACAACCTGATTTGGAGGGCTGAGAACATTGGGAAGAGCATCATAAATACGACAGGAAAGATCACAGAATCATGGAATCTTTAAGGTTGGAAAAGATCTCTAAGGTCATCAAGTCCAACCATCAACCCAACACCACCATGTCCCCAAGTGCCACGTCTACATGGTTTTTGAACAGCTCCAGGGATGGGGACTCCGGGCAGCCTGGTCCAATGCCTGACCACTCTTTCGGTGAAGAAATTTCTCCTCATCTCCAACCTAAACCTCCCCTGGTGTAGTTTGACACCATTTCCTCTTGTCCTATCACTAGTTACTTGGGAGAAGAGACCAACCCGACCTCCCCACAACCTCCTTTGAGACAGTTGTAGAGAGCGATCAGGTCGCCCCTCAGCCTCCTCTTCTCCAGGCTAAACCAC